GAAGTGTTTAGGATAATAGCCAAGAGAGCTACCCAACTTACCGTAAGACCATCCGTGAATGGCCACGCGATCCATGTCAATGTAGCCCAGTTGGTCGGCCAAGATACGCAAAGCGTCCACCTGGTCAGTCAGCTCCACCTGGCCCATCCGACCGCGAATGTGGCTCTCGAACCGCTTGCCCCGATGGCGCGATCCTCGCGAGTCAATGCAGATAACGCAGTATCCCTGGGCGGCCAGCATATGCATCCTCAGTTGATGTTTTCCCTAAGAAATTATATATATACAAATAAGTGGTTAGCCTCAGAATAATTGCTTATATTTAAAAGCTTGTCTACCCACCTTGAATGTGTTGTTAACGGTCTGCACCTCGGGTCCTCCGTAAACATTTAGCACCGTGGGATACTTAACACCCAGTTCAAAATTGTGCGGCTTAAATACCATGGCATAAACAATATCGCCCGACGGGAGTTGCGGCCGAAAGATTTGTGGGCAGTACTGTGGCTCTGGTTTTCCGCCCTCGTGAAGATATCCCACTAAGGATATTTGAATGCCATTGACTCCGCCGTTCTGGCACGTCTGATTAACGCGCATTACCTTGCAACTGGGCAGCCGCTGGATGTTGCAGTAAACCAACAGCATCAACTGACATTGCTGTGGAAAAGAGGAAAAGGAAACATATGGTTATAAACAATTTGCAAGTCTAACAAATAATATAGCATACTTATGAGAGGCATTTACAGTTTAATATTTTATAATTTTAACAGATAACTAAGGGGATGTAAGTGAGACTATTCTTACTTCAATTGTTTCGTTCAGTCAAAATTCTTGAGTAATACCTATTTTAGTTTAGATTTCGACTCTATTTTTACGTACATCATCGAACTCCACGAGGTAAGAGTATCCTGGCTCCGTTAGAAGGCGGATTTGCTCGGGACGCTCCAGACTGACAACGTAGAGGTGTTTCTCCAGCGGCGTATCGCGCAGTCCAACAAAGTACACCAGGTTGTTGACCTTATCCACCCAAAGATTCCTGGCCAACACCTCCCACTCTCCGCATGTTAGGGCCACCTTATTGAGGATCCTTGGTTGTAGCGCCGACTGTTCCACGAAACTAGGCTGGGCGGCTCCTGAGCCCGCGTCTCCTTGACCATTTGCTTGGATTAGCAACAGGCTGGCGGTGACCAAATAAAGATGACGGAAACCCGTCTCTTCCGACGCCCACAGAAAGGTTACGGTCGTGTCCGTCAACTCCAGAAAATGAAGCATATCGTGAACATTGATCCAGCTCTCAGAGCGTTCCGTGTATATAACCTGTAGTGGTGTTATTGTGCGACTATATAGACTGCGCCAGCTGTGGTCGCCTATGGAGTCGGTCGGCGTGGACACCTGACTGCTGTAGGACTCGCAGAAGTTGTCCAGCGGTATAAGGATTACATCCAGACGCTGCTGCTTCCGATCCAGGCCCTGTACCCATACGCTGGTTAGGAAAAATAACTTTCTTAATGCAAACATTTAAATATGTATGCAAAAACTACTTTCAACTCTTTCAAATATGGTTTTCAATTAACTACTGAAACCCAGTCGTCAAATTCAAGATGTACTCACTATTTGGCATCCGGTGTCCAACCGACACGTACAATGTATTCCAACCAGCTGAAGACCGCCAGCAGGGAGTAGGGCAAATCCTTAATCGCGATTTCGCTGACTTGCAGTGCCTCGTTCAGTACGAACTGGACGAGCTTGAGCTTGGACTTGGCATTAGTGCTGCCGGTGCGCGGAAAGCGGTACTCGTCCACCCTGCCGTGCACGGCCGTCGATGAGGGAAAAGTGTACACAGATACCTCCGATTCATCCACCTCCTCGTAGACAATGCGGTAGATGCCGTCATTGGAATGTGGCTGCCACCAAAAGCCCTGGTAGCGGCTGAACTCCTCCTGCATCACGTAAGAGGGAACACCGGCGCTCAACGCATCGTCTACATAAGAGTGCCGTCCGCTGGACGTGTAAGTGAGCCGCTTTTCGTGCCCACTCAGCGTGTGAGTGACGAACAGGTCGCAGTCGCTGATGTAGGCTATCATGTCGGAGTTCTGCGGACAAATCTGCGGGTCGAGAGCCGTCCATTGCGGGCAGGTGCGTAGCTGCGTGGGAAACAGCAGTCCAGACTGTCGGTGGAAAATAAAACCATAAAATATATTACAATTATGTTCAGAAACCAAAAGATTTTCAAACAGTAAAATTCATCTTTCTTATGTTGGGTTTCATTGGGTTGGATTCGTTAAAACTAAAATATCTTTATAGGTCAGCACTATAAACGCTGTTATACTCACATTGTATCCTGTGTCCAAACATTGGTACAGGTCGTTGAAGCAGGGAAAGACCAGCTTGCCAGAGGGCTTGTGCAGCTCGTAGCAGGTGATGCCCCAGGTGGAGAGGCGCTTGCGCTCCTGTAGCAGCTGGAACTCCCTGGCATAAGGACTGGCCGATCCACTGCCTCCGCTCCCTCCACTGCTCTGTATGGGCTGTTGCAACAAGGGACTCCATGGGAGTCTGTGAGTGAGGGAAAGATACCATTAGTTCTGGGAGTAGATAATAGAGACTATTAACCCACCTAGGCCTGAGCAGAGAATTGTAAAGGAAGGCTGTCTGCTGGCTGCTACTCGTGGGGGATCCTGCACTTAGAGTGGGACTACCGACACCAGACTCACTCGCCTCTAGGCGCTGCACCAAAAGCTGCTGCTCCTCGGACTGCAGCAGGTTGATGTCCGCAAAGAGCAGCGTGGTCTCCCAGCTCTGTGGGGGAGTGCCCAAGAAGTAGCACCTGGCACGGCCATCGGACAGGTGGCGGAACTGCACATTGGTGGGCACCATGGAGGAAAGGTTGCACATCTTCTTGCGCATCTCTTGCACAACCAGCTTGTTCTCGGCCCAGCTCTTGTTGGGCGTGGGCGCTGCAATGTGTCCATCGTTGTCCACCGGATCGTCCTCATCCTCCTCGCAATCGTCGCACTCATCGTCGCCCTCGTCTGGATCTAATCCATGGGGCGGAGTGCCACTTGTCGGTGAGCTGAGGTGGTTAGTGATCACAGAGGCTGCTGCTACCACCACCTCGGTAGTTGTGGCCGTGGCCGCCCCCGCTAATGCTTGGATGGGGGAGGTGATGGAGTTGAGAGCACTGCCGATGGAGGAGTACAGGGCATTGGCGGTGGTGCCCAGAGAGCCCATGCTAGTCAGGCTGGCTATTGAGTGCGTCGATCCTGGCGTGCTAGCGGCGCTTTGGCTGCTACGATCCATCAGCATGTTGGAGGCACTTGTGCCACCTGCGACGCTAACTGCCGTAGAAACGCGTGCCGTAAATCCGTCCAGGAGATTCACAAAGGATGTGGCCGCCGCATTGGTGATGCTGTGGCTGCGATGGTGTCCGCCTCCCCCATTGTTATTATTTCTGCCTAGTTGCGATGGAGCCACTGCATCCTGCTCCAGGCCCATCAGGGTGGTGTTCGCATTCGGGCCGCCGCTGAGATTTACACTCAACGGTGGACTCGGCGAGGAGGGCAGGCGATTCCGCTGCTGCTGCTGGTTCGGTTGATTCACTTGGGTCCTGCTCTCCATGGTGGATTTTCTTGAGCTGACCCAATTCGGTGGCGAATCCAATCCAAACCACGTACACACACAAAGTTTTGGGGCCAAAAAAGTACTCAATGTACTCACACACACACTCGCACTCTCGCTGGAACGGAAAACACACACTACCGCTGACGCACACACACAGGCGGCCTGTTGTGCTGGTTTGTTATTGTTATTTTGCTTGGCATTTGCCGTGCAATCCAGCGATTTTAAACAATTCTCGATGCACTCTGTGGCCTGATGTTGTCCGCTCTGGTACTTTCCACATTCATCGCTCTTCGTCGACTCTTTTTTTGTTGCTTTTGCAGCTGCTTTTGTTGTTGCTGTCGCTGTCGTTGTTGTTTTTCTTGTGCGAATTGTAAAAAGTGAAAGTCGCACCGTGCGGCTAATCGAAGGCAAGCAGAGCACCTGGGTTGTAGTCCGCTCCTCGTTCTGCTGTGCCAGCAAGTGTTTAATATCAAACCGATTGATTGATCCAATTGTGTTATTCGGAACGGAACTGCAGGTAAATTAAAATAATGCACGAAAGATATACGATACTACGTGCCCGTGCGAGATTGACCTGGCACGGTGCTTTGGTCACACCTAACCGAAGGATTTGGAGATGGGACTGGTGGATAGAGATGGGCTAAATTTTGAGGAATCATTGCAGCGATACATATTGTCCAAAAAAAATGTACAATAAAAATTAATAATAAACACAAACATTTAAAATAATGTAAGCCATGGTTGTTTCAACGATTTTAAAATAAAATCTTAATATAAAAACTTTAACTTTGGCTATGTGTATTAAATATTTTATATGTCATTATATGTATAATTTGAAAGCTGTCTTATTTTTAAATTTGGTACGCAGAGTGTCAAACAATTAACATCAGACTATTAGCTTAATCATTTTTTCCTATTTAATAAATGATACATAAAATTTGCTAATAACTCAGCGCTCGTAAAAAATTACAAGTTTTTACTAAGCATAAAAACTGTAAGCTGTATGTTCTCTAAAATCACTTCTCAATTATCTCATATGGTATATATATATATTGCTTTTTCGTTACTAATATTGCTTTTTCACTATTAAGCATTAAAACTGTAAACTGTATGTACTATAAAATCAATTGTCATTTATCTCATATTGTAAATATATTACTTCTTCGTTACTCTAAATTCCTAAGCCAATTGTACAAACATAGACTAATTTGTATTTATATTGGCTTGGTATTGAAAATATTAAATAAAATGGATTATAATATTAAACAACAGAAATATCACAAATACTTTTATTATTATCATAACATTAGTTCAAGATTCGCGCCCTTGCTGAATTTTAGAAGGCAACACTGGTTCTTAACTCAACACCTACAGCTCACGACAGAATCCTGTGTGGTCACACTTTCGCCGTTTAATTCTTATTTTTATTTCGCGATTTGTAAGTTTATACAACTAGGTGTGGGCTCAAAATAGGCCAATTTAATAGGAATAATTTATTAATCTTAAGGCAGAAGGGAAAAGTATTGAAGACCTGTAAAAGCAACTTGCCACCTATTTGGCGCCAACAGGTGGTTTGTCCCCAGAGGAGTACACGTGCTCGAAAACGTGCAGGTTTTGTTTACTTTAATTGACTTAAATTGGTTCCAATTAAGTCAAGATGATCCGCAAAGTGCCGCTGATTGTGATCCTGGGCTCGACGGGCACTGGCAAGACGAAGCTTTCTTTGGAGCTGGCCGAACGCTTCGGAGGCGAGATAATAAGCGCGGATTCCATGCAGGTGTACACTCACCTGGACGTCGCCACCGCCAAGGCCACCAAGGAGGAGCAGTCTCGGGCACGACACCACCTCCTCGACGTGGCCACACCGGCGGAACCCTTTACTGTCACCCACTTTCGCAATGCCGCTCTGCCAATCGTGGAACGCCTTCTCTCAAAGGACACTCCTCCAATTATAGTGGGCGGCACCAATTACTACATAGAATCTCTGCTTTGGGATGTCCTGGTGGACTCGGAGGACAAGCAGACAGAGGGAACCCCACTTAAGGAGCATCGAAAACAGGAGGATCTAGATGCCATGTCCACTACGGACTTACATCATTACCTGGCCCAGATCGACGCGGGTAGTGCCAACCGTATTCACCCCAACAATCGGCGTAAGATCCTCAGGGCCATCGAAGTCTATCAAGAAACAGGGCAGACCCTGACCAAAAAGTTGGCGGAACAGCGAGCCCAGCCTGGAGGAAACCGTCTAGGAGGACCCCTCCGCTATCCACATATCGTACTTCTGTGGCTGCGGTGCCAGCAGGAGGTGTTAAATGTACGTTTGGATACCCGAGTGGATGGAATGCTGGCCCAAGGACTCCTCCGCGAACTGCGAGAGTTTCATAATGCCCACCATACTACAACTGTTCAGGCCTACACCTCGGGCGTCCTGCAGACCATTGGCTACAAGGAGTTTGTACCCTACCTGCTGAATCATGACCAAAATGAAGATGAAAAGATCGAGGAGTACCTCCGGAATCATAGCTACAAGCTGCCAAGTCAGAAAGAACTGCAGGAAGAGGGTCTTCCAGATGGCTTGGATATGCTGCGGAATTGCTGCGAGGAACTAAAGTTGGTGACTCGTCGTTACTCCAAGAAGCAGCTGAAATGGATCTACAATCGATTCCTGGCCAGCAAGGATCGCCAAGTGCCCGATCTCTACGAACTGGACACCAGTGATGTTGCTGCCTGGCCGGAGGCAGTGTATCACCGGGCAGAGACCATAATTGAGAGCTATCGCAAGGGTATGGAATGCGAGATTAAGCCAATGGAAAAGAAAGAGCATCCTGGAGCAGATTTGGATGAGGAGACCAGCCACTTTTGCGCCACTTGTGAAAGGCACTTTATTGGAGAATATCAATGGGGAGTGCACCTCAAGTCCAACAAGCACAAACGCAGAAAGGAGGGGCAGCGCAAGAGGGAGAGGGAGCAGGATATTAAGCTATCCACGGATCAACTTCTAGCAAAAAAGCAGAGGGAAGACTGTAAAGAGAAGGATAAGGGGGAGGGGGAGGCTCAGCTGTCAGCCAGCCAAGTCAAAGATACTGATAAGGCAATGTAAAACCAGACACGGCTTGGCAATAAATGAACCTACGTAAACTTGAGTCATTTGTTGTTGTTTTGTATACCGATCCCTCCGATCGGCTGCTGATGCAAGCGGTTTGAGGAGTATCTGATAACCCTACACCTCGCTAATGGGGACCGTAGACCGCAGGGGAGGTCGTTGCCTAGCCAGAAAAGCGAAAACGCGTAAACATGTTTGTGCACCAAGCCACCAGCCCACATTCGCGATTCGCCCACTGACTGTTCTCGTTTTTCATTTGCATTTCAGTTGCCCAGCGGTTCAGACGCAGCCAGCCGAAATATCAGACATCAACCATGAGCTCCAACAAGATTGGTAAGTCTTCCAGGATCCTTTGTCAGTAGGTAACCATTAACAATCCCTAATCTGCCTCAGCTCTCCTCAGTGTGTCGGACAAGACGGGACTGCTCGAACTGGGCAAGAGTCTGGTGGCCTTGGGCTTTGACCTAGTGGCCAGTGGAGGCACTGCAACAGCCCTGCGAGGATCCGGCCTGAAGGTGAAGGACGTCTCTGAGATTACCGGGGCCCCGGAAATGCTGGGTGGACGTGTGAAGACGCTGCATCCGGCCGTTCACGCTGGAATACTGTCCCGCACCAGCGACTCTGATCTGGCTGACATGCGCAAACAGGGCTACGATCTCGTCCAGCTGGTGGTCTGCAATCTATATCCCTTCGCTAGCACCATAGCCAAACCGGATGTGACGCTCGCCGATGCTGTGGAGAACATCGATATTGGTGGCGTGACCCTGCTTCGGGCGGCGGCCAAGAACCACCAACGAGTCACGGTCGTCTGCGAGGCGGTGGACTACGACCGAGTGCTGGCCGAGCTAAAGGCTTCGGGTGACACCACTCTGGATACGAGACAAGCCCTGGCCCTCAAGGCATTCACCCACACAGCCAGTTACGACGATGCCATCTCGGACTATTTCCGGAGGCAGTACGGATCCGGGGTGTCCCAGTTACCCCTGCGCTATGGAATGAATCCCCACCAGAAGCCGGCACAGCTGTACACGCAGCTGGCCAAGCTGCCACTTACCGTGCTTAATGCTTCTCCAGGATTTATCAATCTGTGCGATGCTCTTAATGGCTGGCAGTTGGTGCGGGAACTTAAGCAAGCGTTGCAATTACCGGCAGCCACCAGCTTTAAGCACGTGTCCCCTGCAGGAGCGGCTGTAGGAGTTCCTCTGAATCCCGCCCAGGCCAAGCTCTGCATGGTGGACGACTTGTACGAGCAACTGACGCCTCTGGCTACGGCCTATGCCCGTGCCCGTGGAGCCGACCGCATGAGCTCCTTCGGCGACTTTGTGGCCCTGTCCGATGTGTGCGACGTTGTCACCGCCAGGATCATCTCCCGCGAGGTGTCCGATGGCATCATTGCCGCAGGCTACACGCCAGAAGCTTTGGAGATCTTGAAGAAAAAGAAGAACGGCGGATACTGCATCTTGCAGGTAAAACTGATGATTTAAAACAGGGTGGCATTTTAGAAATTTAATTTTTACATTTCAGATGGACCCCAACTATGAGCCCACTCCGGTGGAGCGCAAGACAATTTTTGGCCTGACGCTGGAGCAGAAGCGCAACGATGCCGTTATTGGCGCCTCGCTCTTTGCCAATGTGGTAACCAAGCGTGGTCCTCTGCCGGAGGCGGCTGTGCGGGATCTGATTGTGGCCACTATAGCCCTCAAGTACACTCAGAGCAACTCCGTATGTTATGCCCGTGATGGCCAAGTTGTGGGCATCGGAGCCGGCCAGCAGTCGAGAATTCACTGCACCCGCCTCGCGGGCGAGAAGGCAGACAACTGGTGGCTCCGTCAGCATCCCAGCGTGGCCGGCATGAAGTTCAAGGCGGGCGTAAAGCGGGCTGAGATCTCGAATGCGATTGATAATTACGTAAATGGAACCGTTGGCAAGGATATGCCTCTATCGCAATTCGAGGGAATGTAAGTGGAGGAATATATCATACATTTTTGTGTCCTTAATCACAATCCATAATATTATAGGTTTGATAAGGCTCCGGCTCAACTGACCACCGAGCAGAAGGTGGAGTGGCTGAAAGAGCTAAGTGGAGTGGCCCTGGGATCCGATGCCTTCTTCCCCTTCCGCGACAATATCGATCGCGCTAGCCTGGTTAGTTCTTTGAATGGTGCTTGCTTTTACCAATTCTAATCCCTTCATTACTTCTCCAGAGTGGTGTCTCCTATATTGCCAGTCCTGCTGGCTCCACCAACGATGCTGGAGTCGTCGCCGCCTGCGATGAGCATGGCATCATCATGGCCCACACTAACCTACGTTTGTTCCACCATTAAATACTAATCACTTTTATTAAGCTTTTGGATTCCATAAAATTCAAATTTAAATCTGCTCAGAAGTCGAATATATATTTCAAATATTATATGAGCCAATCAATGGTCTTTTAGACATTTAAAAAAGACTATCAAACGCAAAATTTACTTTTTATACAAACTATTTTTGATAACCTATTTAGTGCCTTAAGAAATTTTATAGATATACAAAACTTTGTTAAACAAACCCCAAGAAACTGCCCTTTATTCATTCCAAGCACAATAAAAATGACTTGCCTTTAGTTAGTTAAACGAACGCTGCATCGACTAAACACTATTTATTTCAAGAATTAGTTTCTATATAATGTACAGTTCGGGAGACTGGACCATTGGACATCCAGATCCCACAGATCCTGGCCAGCTCCAAGTCGCGGATTCAGCCTATCGGCTGCGGTGCCTCCGACAGGCGCGGCGACAATTGCACAAAAAGACGACGAAGGTGACGAAGAAGACGAGCACCGAGGCCAGGACCAGGGCCACCGAGGTGGTCTGGTCATAGCTGGCAGTGGGATCCAGCACGTGCTGCTGGGGCAGCAGCTCGAAGTCGACTAGCACTTGGGTGCCGTTGGGCGGCGGGCAGGGCTGCTGCACAATGATCTCCTGGTGCTGCACCTGTTGTTTCGGTAATAATATTAGTTAACGAATTGCACATTAGTAATACCTAATCCCAAGGATCTCGTGACACTCACCTGCTTGTTGCGGCACAGCTGCAGTCCGGCGGAGTTGGACAACGTCTCGGCACTGTACTCGTCCTGCACCAGGACAGGCAGAAGCCATCGTTCCGGAGAGACGAACTGCAGCCACGACCAAAACTGGGCCAGGTTTTGGGGGTGCACCAGGTAGCCGCCCACCGCCGCCACAGCCAGGCTGACCAGCCCATTAACAATGCTTGCCGAGACCTTGCAGGGCAGCAGGTGGGCACAGAACAGAGCCAGTGTCTGGATGAGCGTCAAGTAGAGCAGCATGTAGCCTGCGGATGAAAGGATTAGTAAGCGGGATGTTGGTATCTCTGGCTGCCGAGGTAACTAACCCATGTACAGGTATATGCCCGTATCGCTGCTGTTGGAGTAGGTGTAAAGTCCTGCCATGCTGTGGGCCGGCAACAGATAGGCCAACCAGATGCAAAGGCTGGGGAACAGCCCCAGAAGACTCTGTAAGATTGGAGATTTAAAGATTTAGATAACAAAGTATGTATTAAAACACTAACCTGCACAATAATGTAGAGACTCCGGGTGTACAGTCCCAGGCGGATGTCCCTCTCCGCATGGCGCCGATCCTCCTGCGTGTCTCGGATGGTCAGCATGACCAGTGGCCAGTACACGAGCACCATGACGCAGTGATGGTAGCCCAGCCTGTCGTGGTAGCTCAGCTGCGGATCGGAGGCGGGCACATCCCAGAAGATGCAGCCGATGCAGAGGGACAGCACGGCGGCCGCGATGAGCTTGCTGATCCAGGTGAGCAGCGATCCCGGCTGCTTGTAGCCGGCGAATCGTTTGATCAGGGCGCTGATCTGGCCAAAGAAGCCGGCCTTCAGGGTGAAATTGGGTAGCGAGGCAGGCGGAGCAGCCAGTGGGGGCTCGGAGTTGATCTGATCCCAGGCGTTGGCCAACGATTCAATGCGGGCCGAGGACTCCAGCATGGCGGCCGCCGAAAGGTCATCCAGGGTGACCAGATCCACTAAAAGTACACAAGTGATTAGGCACTATCATCACCATTTATCTGCATAACTTACAGTAGTAGTCCGCTGGGTTCTTGAAGGGCGGGCAGGGATAGCCCAGCTCGCCCATGTGTCGCGGCAGATCAGCTCGACTGCCGGAGAAGACGGTCCTTCCGCCAGAGAGCAGCAGCACGCCGGAACACATGGACAGGATCTCGAAGGTGGGTGGCTGGAGCGTCATGATGACAATGCGACCACCGCTGCACCACTGACGCAGGTACTCAACCAGAAAGAAGGTGTCGAAGATGTCCATGTTGCTGGTCACCTGATCCAGGATCAGCAGCGAGGATTGCGCCAGCAGCTGGCAGGCCACGCTCAAGCGCTGCTTCTCCGAGTGGGTCAGAGTGGACACGTTGGAGGCACGCACCGTATTCAGGCCCAGATCCTCTATAAGCACATCCATGCGCTCCTCCAGATCGCTGCGATCCAGAGGACCGCGCAAAGCGGCGTGGAAGTTCAGGGTGCACTGGACACTCATCCGGGGATCCAGGGAGGAGACCTCCAGGGCCGGCACATAGCTGCAGAGCTCCCTCAGGCCGCGGCGACTCATCTGCTGCCCGTTGATGAGGATCTCGCCGCCCAGACGTTCACTCAATCCCGCCAGGCATTCCGCCAGAGCACTGCCCTCCCGCTGAGAGGTGGCCATGATGGCGAACAGATCCCCGGCCTTGGCCTGCATGGACACACCGCGCAGGCAGGGATTCACGTCCAGGCAGTGCACCTGGATGTTGGGGTAGATCAGGCCCATGCCCGACTGCTTCCGACTGCCTGGGTTGTGACCACTTCCGTTCCCATACTGCCTGGAGCTGCCGTACAATCGCGCCTCGTTGTAGTCGTAGCCCAGGCCACCCCCGCCATCCACCTGGCTCAGCCCCGCCCCCAGCAGATCCGCCTCGCTGTGCGACCTGTGCCCGTAGTGCTTCCCATTGCCCATGTACTGCTGGTGGTGCTGCTGCATCTGGTGGTGGTGGTGCTGACCCACTGCAATGCTGGCCCGACTGTTGGCCTGGCGCAGAGCGGCCATCGGAACGCCCCCGCCCCCGCCGCCTCCTCCTCCGATCTGGGCACGCGACTCCGGACGCGAGTGCGGCATGCCGCCGATGGCACGGAAGTCGGACTCGCTGCGGTACTTCCGGAGATTGGGCGGCACCCGGCTGCGGGTCGTCTCGTTGTCGCTGCTGTCGTAGCCACTGCTCCCGGCTCCGGGTGGCGCCCCCGAGCTGTCCCGGAAGGCGCGGTTCACCCGGCCCCGCACTCCCCCGAGGGCACTGGAGCCACCGTGACCCGGACCTGACCCTCCACCGGGCACCGGACCTGGGCGATGCGAGCGCTGCGATCCGGCATTCGGCGGAAAGACGCGCGGCAGTCCGAACTTCAAGTATGTGTACATGTTGGAGCCCAATGGAGATCTGTAAGGGGTTAAATATGGTTGGTTTTATTAAAAAATATAAAGGAATTTAAATAATTGTAAAGATAAGATCAATTTCTAAGACCATATTCAATTATTTAGATCGTATTTTCGCCATACTAAGCTTTGTTATTTTCCATTTTTATGTTTCACTATTACTCTATACGTATTTTTATTAAGATTAAGTTTTTTATATATAATATGAGATAAAAATATAACATTTATGAATCATTTTATCATTCAATATTTAAATCCTAGGTTTTTAATTTAGGTAATTTTCCATAAATTGCGACTAACAACATATTACTGCACTTTACTTAGTTTCAAGTATGTGAAAAAATACTTGAAACATTCATAAATTATAGGTACTAATATAAATTGGGGAATATAATAACAACAATTAGTTGACTTGAAGGAATGATACATAATATTTATACACCCTTGCAGAGTGTATTATGATTTGTTTATAAACTTTGTTAACCCATAGGTTTTTTTGTCGAGAAAAATCTATAAAATGCTGAGATCACTTAGCATTATTAACGCTTGATTATGCTTAATAATTATTTATATAAATAATTGTTGGGATTACTCACTTGGGTCCGTAGCGCGGATGATTTAAGATTGATTGAACTGTGGTGTCGCGTAGCTGGAAGTTTCCATATGGCAGCGGTGATTTGTCCGACGAGCCCAGAGCCGAATCGGTGAAGTCTGAGTTCAAGTTTTGCCTATTGATGGGGTATTTGAATTCGAAAAGAGAAGTTATAGAGAGTTGCACTGGGCGGTTGCAGTTGCGGTCAAGTGGACATGATTGGGGGGCTTGGCCATGGCTCTTCAATTAACCATTTATGGCATTTGAACTTCCGCCGGCTGCGGTTAAGTCAACCGTCAAAACTCCGATCGACAGGTGCGGCCAGTGGCTCCTCCACCTCCATCCGTCCACACACAGTGACCACACCCATGTCTGGCATCTGGGGCTGGGGTTCCCCCACTAAGCCACTCACCTGTAGATGGACCAGGCGTGCAGATCTTCGGAAGCCGCCGGCGGCAGCGGAGTATTGGGTCCGTGGGGCACCGAGTAGCGTCGCTCCTCGCGTGACATCTTCTTGCCGCTCGAAAAGTTGCTCAGCTCCATGATCTGCAAGAAACACGGCGCGGGTTAGCGAGATCGGACCAAAATCTTAAGCTAATTCCGTGTCAAACTGGGTCAAGAATGCTGCGAGAATGGCTGCGCTATTATTACTCATAATTGGCGGGAATTAGCCTAATGACAATGCCCACACATCCACACGCAGTGTCAGTTAAAGTCGAAGTTGGATTCGGAATCGGAGCCATAGTCGCAGTCGCATCTCAGCCATTGTCAAGACAAAAGCGGAAATTGTGTCGGAATTGGGTAATATGCGAACTTGAGACACCCTAACAATGATCCCAAACCAAATTCTATTCAATTTTTAAACAAGTTTGAATGCTTATAGCCGTATATCTTACCATAATAACCATCAGGTTAAACCATATCAAATGTATATATTATTTATGGTTTTGGGTAAGTTTTAACAGACAATGATTTCCGTTAAAAAGCTAAGCTAATTTACAAGTTTAACGTAAAACCAATACAAGCCAAGTTATGTTCCTAAAAAAAACTTTTCGATTATGATTATAACCATTTTAGAAATAAATTAAGTTTGTCTTGTAAACCTTATTACCCCAGAGTTCTTTTGTTGTTGTGCAAATGTTATATCTTAATCCAAGTAAGTGCACAACAACCCGCAACACAATTATACCTAATCGGGTGTTGTCTTTCAGATTTCCATCTTTGTGTCTTGAGGAAATCCAAAACGACGAGCGGGAGAACAAAGCGCAGCTCATTTCGACACGGCCTCTGGGTTTTTAATTGCCAATGCAGCCCCCAAAAAAGCAAAAATCCATGCAAATGAACCGCTGTTTGCTCGCCAGCATTATGCAACCGAACGAAAGGCAAGCAAACTAATGCAGCTGCCGCAAGGTTTTGTGGACTCCAAATGGATGCAGTTCAGCAAGGTGTGCGGATTTCCGTTTTCCCAGCCGCAAAGATTACGTAGTCAAGTGTTCTACGAGGGCCAGATGCCCAAATGCCCGGCGAAAGTGAGCGGCTTAA